GGCCAATGATATTAGTGCTGTAACTATGGTTACACCGGCACTGGGGCCATCTTTGGGTGTAGCACCTTCCGGAACGTGCAAATGAATATGCCTGCAAGTCAGAATTTAAGAGTATAGTAAATCACTTAAACGCTATTTTTAACAGTTTACCCTTTCTCTAAGAAAGTATTATCTTCGTTTCTGGTACGCAGATAATTTCGCGCCACGGTTAGCGCAATTTGTGCAGATTCCTTCATTACAGTACCAAGGTTACCCGTTAGGTGTATTGAACCGCTGCCATCATCGTCTTTCATGAGTTTGCCAGTCCGGCGTGAAGCTGTTTCAATGTAGAGCGAGGAGCCACCCATTGCGGTCCATGCTAGACCCATAACGACGCCGGGTGGTGTATCCTCATACATGCGATCCGATGAGAATATGTGCTTGCCGAGGAACGTGGTTAGATTGTCGGAGGTTATTGTGAAATGTGAACCCTCTTTTTTCACGAAGCGGTAAGCTACCTTACGCACAATCTAAAAGTATCACTAGTTGTAGTCAAATTATTATATATTTGGAATATATTCTCGTACTTACTTTTTCGATGTGTTTTTGCAAATTTCGAACACCTGATTCGCGGCAATAGCTTTTGATCAGCGTTTTCAACGAGTCGTTTTCAATGTCTATATGCTCGGCAGTAATACCGCAATCGCGCATCGCTTGTGGTATCAGATACTGACGCGCGATAGCCACTTTTTCTTCGGCGACATAGCCGGACATCTCAATTAGTTCCATACGATCACGCAAAGGCTCGGGTATGGTATCTATAACGTTCGCTGTGCAAATGAAAAGCACATGAGATAGATCGACGGGTACATCAAGATAATGATCGAGGAAATTGGCGTTCTGTTCGGGATCGAGAAGTTCAAGCAAAGCAGAACTGGGATCGCCCTGGTAGCCTCTAGCGAACGTAAAGCATTTATTTGTATGAGGTTTAGTTAAACACTCTATGAGGTTATTTTGTTACTCACTTGCCAATTTTGTCCACTTCATCGATAAGCACCAAAGGATTCTCAGTCTTTGTCTTCTTTAAACATTGTATGAGTTTACCGGGCATGGCACCCACATATGTGCGCCGGTGTCCTTTTATTTCAGCAACGTCGGTCATGCCTCCAACACTGAAGCGGAAATATTCACGATTTAAAGCGCGTGCAATGGAGCGGGCTGTAAAAGCGTCGGTATGAGTATGAAATAATTTAAAATTTACGACATTATTACATACCTATGCTCGTCTTGCCCACACCAGGTGGTCCATGGAAGCAGAGAATTTTGCCCTGTGTGCTGCCTTTTAAATGGCTCACAGCAATAAATTCCAAAATACGTTTCTTAATGTCTTCCATGCCATAGTGGTCATGATCTAAAATTTCTTGTGCTTGTTCCAAGCTCAAGTTCTCTGTGCTTGTAACACCCCACGGCAGCGAAGTTAACCAGTCCAAATAGTTTCGTGTAACGCTGCAATATTTATAAGTGTTGTAATATTTGTAATGTAATATAGGGAAAAATAATGTATAATTACTTGAATTCTGAACTATGGCTTTCCAAGAAATTTAGCTTGTTCAATTCTTCATCAATAACAGTCATAACATTTTCAGGCACGGTTTTGTCTTTTAATTTYTCACGGTATTTCTCGCCAATCGCATCCTTATCGTCTTTTTCTATGCCCAATTCTTTTTTTATTACTTTAAGCTGTTCTTGGAGTATATATTTGCGATGCTGTTGCTTTACCTTCTCCTCAACTTCACGTCCAATTTTTTGCTGTAACTTCGATAATTCAAGCTCTTTCTTTAGCAAAGCCAGAGCAAGCAACAAACGTTTGGGTATCTGTGATTAATATTTTATGAGTAAAGTCTTTTTAATACTTAATTTTATACAAAGTGTTACTTACATCCATTTCCTCCATGATCTTTTGCAGCTCCTCGGGCTCTGCAGCAGAGAGCGACGCACCTAAATCACACAGATATACTGGATTATCCACCACACGTTGATTTTGGTGCAACATTTGCTGCAAACTCTCCCTGTGAAAAATTAAAAATTATATACACTGTAATTTTTAACTTGATTAAGCTTGCCTGTATAACGGATTCATAKTAATGATATCGCGTATTGTTTTTATCACTTCCTGCGTGAGTGCTTTCACTTCCTCGGTTTGTTTGTATTGTTCATGCTTCACATTTTCAACTTCAACCATAAGCACAGGTTGAGGCACACTGCCAGCAGTTGGAGGTACTTGTATTGTTCCTGCCGCAGGCGGTACAGCAGTTCCTGTTGGTGGTACTACCTCCTCGGTTTTCTCAGTTGTCGCCTTGACACCTTGATTGGCATCGCGTTTAGATATGCGACCAGTACGCGCTTTGCGTGCTAACTTACGACGTTCCAATTCAGTTTGTTCTTCAGCTGGGATGTTCAATTTTACATTAAAGAGTGGAAAATGTATTGTCGTCTTCTTCTCTGAGTGGAGAGCATTATGACGAAATTTTTCTTATATATATTGTCAAAAGACTAACTGATATATGAACGGGTTAAGATAGGAAGGAGGAAGGAATGGGAAGAGTGAATGTGTAAAGTGATACCGTTAGATGAATTGTTAATCGGTGCAATGGAGGTCTCATCAAACTAGTATCTTCTTAATAATGAGTGGATGTTTGGAAGCAACAAAGTAATTTTCTGGTTAAAGTTGCACTTTCCATTCCCCCAATTATGAATTTTATACATATAAAAATAATAATTAAAAAATACATACCTTTCGCCGTTGGTATTAGGTCTTCTAAAATTTGTCCAGTAATTTTAATACGTCTGTGTGCCACGACCACCATACGTAGTTTATCGCCCAAATCTTGCAGCTCTTGTATCTGTGCAAATGTTCCTACATTGTACACTTCATCCAATTTTTCCACCACTTCCGACTCATTTTCATTGTCCTTCTTCATGAATACACCTACATATGGCTGATTTAACTTAACCTTGCGTCTAATCAAATCAATAACTATGGGATTTGAAACCTACAAGCATATACAATTATATAATACAAAAGAAATTTGCATCTGGAAAATTTATTAGTGTTTTTGCATATGATTTTGTTTTCATAACGCACTTCTAGAATTTTCATAAAGCGCGGAAATACTGGATTACGTCGCGTAGCGAGCAGCGGCAAATGTGGCCAGACTTCTGGCACCGCAACAGTCGCCGGCAACTGCGGATCCTTATTCACTATGTATTCGGTAGAGTCAGCTTCCAACTCCTCTTCCTCATCTTTTTTGCGATTAGTGCAATAATTGCGGGCGCTGATTGTCGTCGATCGTAGTAATAATGCTGCGCTGCTGTTGTCGATGCGCCGCTGAAGTGCTCCATAACGCCAATTTGAGCGTATTAAAGAGTGTGTTGCATGTTGCTCTTGCGCCACGAGTGTACCAATGCCGCGTGCCAATGAGCGGTGCTTAAGAAGACGCGTTAACATTTTTTATAACAATATTTTCATATAAAGTATTGTAATTGTTGTGAAAATGTTATATTTCAGGAAAAAGTGATAGAACACTATCGGCAGTGCGAAGTACTTTTCTATTTCTTTATCAACGACAACGTGAAATGGCAATTAGAAAAAAATTACAAAAAAGATGAGAAAATAATTGAAATCATATGGAGAGATGTGTTTAATGTACATTGGGTGACGCAATTCATTGTCTATGTTTTGAAATATATTATGTAAAATGTAGGCAGTGAACCATTTTCTGATAGTAAATAAAACGTAAAACTATAAATTAATTTGAAAATAATTTTTAAAACAAGGCTTTCATTCAGAAAAAAGCTGGCGGCAGTGTTTAGTTTGCTTTGTTTCCCTACAGTGATGGCTAAAATAGTTGGTACTCTTTTATGGTATATATAATGTTATGATAAACCAGAGAACTTAAAACATCGTGAATTCTTTGGTAGTGGGGTGAATTCCCTATCACAATCTTATAAAATGTTCGACATCGAACCTGCACCTTCCTTATGTTTTAAGTTCTTTGGATAAACGTTCATTGATATAAATATACGTTCTCTGTATATACATAGCTTTACACACATACATATGTATATACAAATAAGGTCTCGAAGGATCATTCCAGCGAACGTTATAAACGTTCTCTGATCATTCACTACCATACGAAAATAATCCAGGTTCATTAAGCAGTTTATTGATTCTACATAATATAATTTATTTTTATTTTTCTTTTGCAAAATTAAAAATATATTCACAATATTATCAAGAATACTTGAAAGTTGAATGGAAAGCGAACACAAATACAAACACACATTAAAAAGATTTGAAAATTATATACACATATATACATTGTGTGTATAGACGTACATACATACATATATTCATACATATCTATTCCGAACCCTATCGGTTATTAAGCGAAAGACAAGCGATAAATATTGACTATGAATACACACGCATGTACATACATTTAGCCCAAAGCGATGTACGCATTGACACTCAATATTTGCACAGATTTGCGTACATACATACACACATATAAGCATTATCTACAATTCGTCAATGCTCGTATTTATGCATGCAGACGAATTATTTAATCTGTAAAGATCAGAATTGTTTCGGTATTGCTGTGGATAATAACTGTTTGATAAAATTAGAATTGAAAACATGATGCAAATAATTTATGGCGAATGAAAACTGCGAACAAATAACTAGAGACAAATAAAAAGTGCTCGCCATTATCGTTAGAATGTAGAAATGCCGGTTGCTAACGGAGCGCGATTACACATACATACATACTTATGTACACACTTATTGAAAGCTGCACGACACCCCAATGTGCTTACGGCGAGGAAGAGGAGCAACAGGAATCCACTAGATTGCAAGCATCACTCGAAAACAAATAACAAATTCGATTGCAGAATATATTAAATCATTGACACCACAGCGCACGTACGGCGCGTTAACAAATATACTACAAGTGTCTGTCCACGTATTTGCATGTGTATATGTATGCAGTTGACGGAAGAAAAGACAGCAAAAGACAGTAGGCGGCGGGTGGTTGTTAGCAAATACATTTAGTGTGTAATTCCACATTCGATCGTCAACATTGTCAGTCTTTGGGTGACGCTGGTGCCTGCGTTTCAAACAAAAATTTCATTGAACGAACAGCAAAACGGGTGAAAGTGAAGAAGTGGGAAAGAAGCATTGAAATTTTGCCGAAAAACGTAAGTTATTATATTTAAGAGGAACTAAAATTGATAAAAATGTAGAATACATTTCTACACTAAATTATTATTTTTGCATGTATTTCATGTATTATACAATTATACGAGTAAGCTTTGAGCCGAATTTTTTATAGAGATTTTCAGGCAACAGCAGGATCGTGTAGTTCGTGAACGGAAGTGCATAGATATAAGTGAATAAGACTAAAAGTTCGAAAATAAATAGTTTTACAGAWTTTTTGTTTATTTACGATTAATATAATTCAGAAATATTAGAAAACAAATGCCAAAAATTCAGAAAAGTTTAAAAATTGTCTTAAAATTTTAATTTTTTAATTGATTTTAGTTTTATAGTAAAACTTACATATACATATGTATGTATGTATACACATGTATAGATATCAATCAAGTTAAAAGTATAAGAGCCAATCATCAATGAAAAAAAATACAAATAAAAATCAGCTAAAAATATAGTTAAAAAAATAAAATAAAAATAGGATAAAAATAAAAAATAAAAATAAGAGTCAACTTTTATAGAGCAGTAAATTTCATACAAAAATATGAGTTTTGCAATTTAATAAGATTTATTTTCATTTAATTATAAACATAATACGAACACAAATTTTGCCTTAAAATAATCAAAAATCAATCGTTTATAAAAAATATAGGTAGATTTACAAAAAAAAAAAAACTTAAAAGATAGTTTTTCGAGGAACATTCAATTCTTTTTTTCAAGAAGTTGGACGCAAGGTATGTATTTTTTTTTGTGTGATAATAAAAAAATAGAAAACTATAAGGCGGAGAACCTCACCGCTGCAATTAAGAGCACCTACTTGGAGAGATATTTAGAGGTTTCGAAGAACCAATTTTCAGAGTGCCAAGAGAAAAAATATTTATTTTTTTAATAATATAAATAAAATATATTCGTAATATAATATAATACTGTTAAATTTTATTATTATTTTAAAATTATTTTTAATTTAATTTATAGCAAAATTTTTTTAATGCCAAACAAGTACAAAAGAAATTAAAACTAATTAGTTTGCCTTTGAAGATTATATAGAATTTTTCATAACCAAATTTTATTATAAAAAAAGAAATAATAAAATAAAGCTCTTAATAAGACTAAGGTAATTTGCTTTTCTTAATAACAAAATTCAATTACCTCGCATGACTAATTTTTTGAAATTTATTCACAGATAATACCAATAATAAAAACTTCAAAACAATAAGAAAAAAACTGACCACAGTTAAACCACATTAAATAATTAGTGCAGACAAAATATAAGCAGCCTAAAAGCAACAACAGCGGCGATAATATAACAACACAATTAAATAAACATAAACATGTCAAGCGAAACAAAAACTACAGCAACAACACAAAACAAAGTGAATGAGATTGATAAGATACGTCTTAATCTAGCCGATGATTGGAAAGTGCTGGGCTCTGTCTATGATTTGTTGAAAAATGGAAAAGCGTTTTGTGTGTCCGATGCCGAGCGCGATGCGGTAAAAGTTGTCGATTTTAAGCAGCCGAACGAAATGAAGGTAAGTTAACAACAGCTGAAAATGTACTTTAAGTGAGTCCAGGTATATATTTGTATGTATGTATAATATTAGGCGTTGAGGCATTTTGTAGCAGGGGGTGTTACAAAAAGGTGGAGGTAAGCTTAAGATGCGGGATATACATACATATGTATGGATGTAGACGCTGCTACCGAACGCTAATACGTATATACTCTCGTAGCATACATATGGATGGATAAATGTTTATATACATATATATGTATATGTATATTCTTGTATGTATATAGTTAGTGCTTGCCACCGAGAAAGCGGCTTAAATGCCATCAAACTGTCAACACACTTTGGCGACACACAATGATTTGAAACCGTTGGCTTTAGCTTGCAACAGCGGATGACGACAACGCCGACAACGTCTCACTGCCATGGTCAAATCGAGTTTGGCGCAGGCGGGTGTGTTTTGGATCGCGAAATCCGCTGACAATGCTTGTGCAGCGTCGGCTAGCGCTAGCGATGACAAGGCGTTATTCGTGAACACTGGATTTGCAATTAAAAAGTGTGTCAAGTTTATTTTTCTTTTAACGGATTTAAACATTTTCATTTTGACCGGCATTTTTATGGCAAATCGAACGGCGATTCAATCACTAAGTCAGTGAATAGACACAATGCACATACAAACATACAAACATGCCGGCAAAGCCGTTCGCCTTTTCACTTCACTTTGAAAATTATTTTGTCAACATGTCAGCAACTGTTGCTGTTGCTCGAAACTATGTAGTTGCTATGTTGTGCGCCATGTTGCTATGTGTTACTGCTTGCTGTTGTTACGTTGTTGTTGTTGCCACAAAGTTAATCCGCTGTTGACCGCCGCTGATACATGATCATGTTCGTAGATTGTCATGTTTTGATTTTTGATTAGGATTGTGTGTACTCACAGATATTTATATGCTGGTATTCGTTATTCACATGCTGTGTGAGCGCTTGTTACAAACATAGACTTAAGTTTAAAATGCACGATCATACGCCCCAATTGTGTGCCTGTTAAAACCGTGTTTTAATTTATATTTTAATTTTGGCTGAAGCGTTTAATGTAAAAATCATTTATTATGCAGAAGCGACTTAAAGGAGCGTGGACGTTTAAGTTAAACTGTATCAATTTTCACTAAGCTGATGGTGGCTCTGATCTGTTTACATTTTGCTAAGGTCATTGACCCTTTGGTATTCAACTTCTAAAAAATAAACAAGGTTTATCAATTACAGGTATTCATTTACAGCTTTTCACTTTCGCTCTCGTGTTTTATACCTTTGGACTTCTTCTTGACCTACCTACCTTTGGGCTACTTGACGTTTATACCAACGTTAGGCGTATACTAGCGACGATTTGTCAAGTTTTCGGTGGTTTGCAACCCAAACATTTCTTTGTTATACAGAGATCGAATAAAAAAAAAAAACAAAAAAAAAAAAAAAATCAAAAGCAGAAGAGCAGAATGAGGAAAAATTGCAAACAAAAAATTGTATTATCAGTTTACTCCCATTATCTTTTGGGGAAGCATAATTTTAATGAGTGCTGATAAGCGTTGTGCAAAAAACGTATATTTTTTATAAACAATTATAAATACATATGTGTATACAATAATTAATCAACGTCAACCTCCTTCTCCATAGCAATTGATTGACCTCAGCATCGATGAGAACAAAACACATACCATAGCAGAGATAGAGGACTTATGTCGGCTGGTAATTAAATATTCAGTAAAAACCAATCATGGCCGGTTTCATAATCAGCTGTTCGGCCAAATGGATCCATTTGGTTTGATGGGGCAATGGATTACCGATGCGCTCAATGCAAGCGCGTAAGTGAAATAACTTGCATATAATATATTAAGCGATTCCACAGACCAAACAATTTCACACTAATTTATATATTTCTTCTATTTTTTTTAATAAAATAACAGTTACACGTACGAAGTGGGTCCCGTCTTCTCGCTGATGGAAACGGAAATCATACGTACCGTTTGCCAATTGGCTGGTTATGCTGAAGGTGATGGCATCTTCTCACCTGGTGGCTCCATATCTAATATGTAAGTAAATTTCTACAATGCTAAGACACYAGAAATATACATACATATATACATACGTTCGTTTATTCAATAAGTGTAAGTTCGTATGCAAAAACAGTTATGCCTTCGGCCAACACTTGACTTTGACACATTGAAAATATTAGATTTAGCTGAGTTGTCTTACTTGGTTCACTATCAAGATGTTCAATGGTAAGTGTTACTTTAGGGCTAATTACTCACTCACACGGCTTAGACAGTTAGAAAAACCGCAAGCTAAGGCATTGCTTTGGCTGTGTTATTTTAGGGTGCGTCCGACAAGTGTTTTGACGGCTCAAAAGCTTACATACAAAAATATGTATTCATTTGAGTGAGCCTTGCGGTCAGAGGCAAAATGGTCAAACTTTACAGGGCTGTTCAAGCAATTAAGAGTAGGATTTGAATATGATTACACTGAGAGAAATTTACTATCTTATTCTTAAATTTATTGAAACAAAAGTGAGTTGTAGTGATTTATAGTATTGAAGCTAATWTTACTAACGATAGTTTTGGAGAGAGTCTGATTATTCGAAATTTTTTTACTCTTCGAAACATCGACAAACTTATGTTCAAAGCTTACTTGGATAGTCGTTCTAAACGATTTTGCCTAATCACTCTGACAAATAGCTTTTCCGTTCCTATCACAAACATTTACCCGAGCCTGGCATTTCTGAAATTATTTGAAATAATTATTTTATACTTTTTGGAGCTAGCTAATCGTACTGAATTTTTGTAAAAATTTTTCTTTGTGTCTACAAATCTGTTTTATTACCCACTCAACAACTCTCCTCTATTCACTTCAGGTACGGCCTTGTCTTAGCTCGCTATAGCCGTCACCCTCAAGTGAAGACTGCCGGCTTGTTTGGCATGCGTCCACTTGCTCTCTTCACATCTGAAGAGTCACATTATAGCTTTGTTAAGGCCGCGCATTGGCTGGGTCTAGGCGCCGATAATTGTATAGTTGTCAAAACAAATGAACGCGGTCAAATGTTAACAAACGATTTGGAGGCAAAGGTTTTGAAAGCACAAGAGTCGGGATGCGAACCATTCTTTGTGAACGCTACCGCTGGCACCACTGTGTTGGGAGCGTTCGATGATCTCAATGCGATAGCGGATGTGTGTGAAAAATATGGCTTGTGGTTGCATGTGGATGTAAGTATTAAAGTCATTAGCCGATACAAAATTCCATAATTGTTATATAATCCCTATATTATTATTATTATTATCCACGCGCAGGCATGTCTTGGCGGTTCGGCGTTGCTCTCTTATAGAAATCACTACTTGTTAGCTGGCCTCGATCGCACTAAATCTTTCGCCTGGAATCCACATAAATCACTCGGCGCGCCACTGCAATGCTCGCTCTTCTTGACACGAGAGCGTGATCTACTCACACGTTGTAATAGCATACAGGTGAACTATCTCTTTCAGCAGGACAAATTTTACGATGTATCCTATGATACAGGCAATAAGAGCATACAGTGCGGACGTAAAATTGATGCTTTCAAATTTTGGTTAATGCTGAAGGCGCGTGGTTACGGCAGTTTTGGACGTTTGCTGGATCATGCCATAGATATTTCAAAAGTTCTCGTTGAAAAAATCAAGCAACGTGGTACCGAACGCTTTCGTTTGGTTCTGGAAGATTACCAATATATGAATGTTTGCTTTTGGTACATACCGAAGGCGCTAAGGGGCCTTGAAGAAACGCCAGAGTGGCGAGAGCGTTTATATACGGTGAGTAATTGAAATTTTTCCGAAGTACAATGTAATTTTTCTTACCCTGAACGGAATATATTAAGTTTGTCATGATATATAAAACACCCCGAAATAAAATACAGAGAGCCTACAAAATATAGTTATTAACGATTACAATGATGAGCTGAGACTATATCAGTCTTAASGTCCGTACGCCTGTACATACGCTTCGTGGCGTGACAGTTATCTAAGCACTGGGAAGGCACAGTACCTGCGCTAACTGGCACCCAGCTTCCCTCGAAATCACCTCACGACTGTTAAATGACATCACATCTCGGCGCGAGAGTCAGTTAAGCACTGCACGGCGCCTGTGTTTCTTTTATAGCGCTACCTRGCAGCCAGCTTCCCGCGAAATCATCTCGCGAATGTTAAACTACATCACATCATGGCTCCATAGCAGCCTAAGCACAAGCCAGACACGGTGCCTGCGTTTCTTTTATAGCGCCAGCTTCCCGCGAAATCACCTCGCGACTGTTAAAATACATCACATTATGGCGCCACAGCAGCCTAAGCGTTGGCCAGATACGGTGCCTGATGTGATGCGCTACCTGGCAGCCAGCTTCCCGCGAAATCATCTCGCGAATGTTAAATGACATCACATCTCGGCACGAGAGTCAGTTAAGCACTGGCTAGGTACGGCGCCTGTGTTTCTTTTATAGCGCTACCTGGCAGCCAGCTTCCCGCGAAATCATCTCGCGAATGTTAAACTACATCACATCATGGTGCCATAGCAGCCTAAGCACAAGCCAGACAAGGTGCCTGCGTTTCTTTTATAGCGCCAACTTCCCGCGACTGTTAAATTACTTCACATCGGATCACAATACAAAATAGCTGCAGTAAAAATTCAGAGATAGAGTTCTTCATATATTCTTTTAWAATATAAAAAATATGCCTGTCAAGAATATTAAAGCAGACGTAGCTAACTTTTCTTCTTCTTTTAAATTTACAATTTTTTTAGGTTGCACCAAAGATTAAGGAGCGTATGGCTTATAGCGGCACTGTGATGATCGGCTATACGCCACTACAATATCGTGGCTTGGGTAATTTTTTCCGCATGGTATTTACTTGTTTCCCAGTGCTAGAGGAAGCGGAACTAGATTTTATTTTGAATGAAATCGAGCGCTTGGGCGAAGAGTGCGAGTATTAATCGGAGATAGTTTAGGTTATAACAATATACTTAAGACTATTTCCTAAGCTTAATTTACAATTGAATGCAGAAAAAAAAATATAAGAAAATTTACTTGTGAAAAAGGTCTTTTAACATGGATTCATTTGGGTAATTTTTGCTTTAATGCTTACACAAATCTATGTAAGTTTTTTTTAAATAAAATTTTCACAAATGTTTTGGAATAGAACTCATTACAAACCTAGTTGTTCACTACAGTTCAAAACTTGTAAAAACTTCAATCAATGGTAATCGGTGACGCGAAATAAATTACAAGGCACCGGATGCCTGAAGCTTGGAGCAGCAGAATATTTAAAGTAAGGAATATGATAAAATAAAGAATATAATTTATAGAATAGTAAAAACAAAAACAACAAGTAAGAATGGCCTAAATTCGGGCGCAACCGAACATACTTGCAAAAATACCTTAAGGGGTTATATACAGTAAGAAGCAACAGAAGACAAGAGTATAAAACAAAGCAGTCACTCTTTATTAGCATATATGTTAACAATATATTTGGAATTGCTGTTATAATCCTGGGCAAACAACAAAGCATTATAATTTGTTTGTTTTATGTACTGCAAACCCTTCGAGTGATCCCCTGTAATTTCGTTAATGCATGCACAACAGTGTAGGAATGTTACATATTCGTGCATGTAAAGGCAGTTGTTGTCTCTTCCACACGAAGCAGGTAATCAGCAGTGCAGAAAATTATATGTTAATAGAATTTCATTCATGTTCATTAACATTCTCTGTTTATAGTCGTGCGTCGGTGAGTGCGCGTCGGTACGTGATCGCGAGCAAAATTTGTGAAAAATTAATAAATTAATAATTTAGTGGAGTTTTTTGAGAACTATTTAAAAATTATTTGAAATTGTGAATGTCAAGTGTATAAAAAGGTGAAAAAAATTAAAGTGCCGATACAAATCCTTAAACATAACCAACAACATAAAGAACGTAAAGCGAACATTACAATATGCAATGAACGCAACAAATTCAAAGTCAAAGCCGAGTCGAAACGAACGCAGTCGCGAAAGTACTCGCGGTACTCGAAATGTAAACAAACACAATAAAAGAACAGCACGAAAAATCAGAGGCAGAAACTCAAATGAACTTTTGCTGAACTTGAAAGCTACATATGTAAACAAACACTGCTAAAGGCGATAGAAGCCATGTAATGGCGCAGGTGGAAAAAGGAGAGGTACCGACGCGGTAATGTAAGAACAAGAAGCAAACGGTTCGGGTAGTAAATCAAAAGGCTCAAATGACAAATACAAATCAAGAAGTAGAACAAAGAGAAGATGAAGAAAAGTCAGAACAGCGAGGCACTTGCAATGACAGATGAACTGAAACGGGATATGCATTTGCATAAATTGAATGTGCATACAGAAATTAATAGTTGACGACGCATCGCAAAAAAGAACGAAAACTAAGTGAAAAATATGAACATAAAAGTGAAAAAGTGAAAAGTAAAATAACGCGCTGGGCATTTCATAAACCACAATTGGCAAACAAAAAAAATAGTTAAATTAAGCAAATGTGCGCGGTAATGAATCGGAACGATTGGTACGCGTCGAGCCGTTAAACCGTACGGCGCAGCGCACTCCATGCTTATGCAAAGTGGTCGTGCATGTTTAATAAGCGCGTTCGTTGATGGCATGTGTTGGACGCATGTTGCGCAGCATAAAACATGTGGCACTTTCTAGAGTTGGTGTGCAGATTCTATGGTAAGTACATAATGTAGGTATGTACGGTTGTATGTATATGATATTTTGCCATTACTGCTAATTGAAATCCGTTGCTGAGCTAAAGTTCGTAAATGCCGAGGCTAGCATTTAGCGCAGATACTGCCGAGTTTGAAACTTCRCTTTAATGAAGAAAATCAGCGCTCGTTTATATGTATATCAGGACTGCACAGCTGGTTCGCATATCAAAAACTTGCAAAAGGAAAAATGCTGCTTTCTTTTTATATAACATAGCAGTTAAATATAATGAAAAGGGATTATTAAGTATGCYACAAAGTTTTTAGTAAGAAGGAACCATTTGTCGCACTCGTCGATATCGCACCACTTTAGCATACAGCTATCATAAAAACTGTTTTTTCAGGTGAGGTTAGACTTTGTTTTTTTTTATAGAAAACAGTTTTTGAAACCTTTTGTGAGGTGATCGAATTGGTTGGTGTTAGAACAATTTTTAGTGATTAAAGCTTTACTCTTTTCTGCTTAGAGCTTCTTGAATTCACTTTAAAATGTACTCTTTAGTCAGCTAAAAATTTATGCTGAGCGCTTATTCGCTACTGTTACTTACTTAGCCACAAAGGAGACGGGCAAATATTGTGGAATCTGTATATTTCAGCAATAATAGGATAACTTGGCGTCAATTCTAGCCGAGTATGTTAGTAAACCTACTTTTACATACCTACACAAATGCCAATTCAGTGGAGTTCCGCAGATTACTGCAAATCTACGGAGGTTTGTTGGAGCAGAAAAATGCGTGTGCAGCGTACAATATGCAGTCGCCAGCGTAAAGCGCTCGTCATTGTCATCATCAGTGTGTATGTACTTATACATACATACCAAGCATAAGCTTGATAGTCGCCGTTGTCGTTGCCGTCAACATCGTCCTMTTCAATGGCGTCAACAACGGCTCCATCATCAACTCAATTCAACTCAACTGAGTTCAGCTTAAGTCAACTCTGGCCAACGCGGGTCTAAGTAAGGCTTTGCGCACCGGTTCAGGCGCTTAACTTGGATTTCAACTTCAGCTATGCAACAGTCGGTGAAAAAAGTGTGAACATATACTCGTATATACCCATACTTATAAAAAAATCAATTGCTTGAGATGGAAGTCACCTAGGAGGCAGTCAGCGCGCATTAAAGTCGAAGTCATGTCGACAACAACCTCCGCCGACTACTCACATAATGTTGCTGGCTGGTGTTTGACTTTTGTGCGGGCATTATTCGTCGCGGTTTTTCTACAAGTTCGCAGTCTTACTGGCAGCATAACTGTTTGACTGGCTGATTTCTGCAATTGTCGGACTCATTAGTCGCAATCATACGGCAATTGTTGATTTGTTAGATTTTCACCAGCCTTCGGTCTAACGTGCAGCTTCTAGTGCGCTGCGCTGAGGGGTTGCTGTTGGTGTGATTGCTTTGTCTTCAAGTTGTGGATTCTTATTTGATTGCTGGTTGAATGAATGCGACTAGCAACGCTTTATTTTGCTAACCGTTTCTCAGTTCCCSAGTGTTCCCATTCCCGTGATAAATTTTGGACTAAAAGTGTACGAATGTAAGACCATGCGTTACCAGCTCCAGAACGTGTAAACTCAAGCTTAAACTAATCGCCGTTTAACTCAACTACAAATTAAATTATTATAGTATGTTACTTTAGTAGATTGTACTTTAATTCTATTTTACTAACAGAGAAATTTGTAGACACTGTGCAAGCCACAGAAGTACTTTTAGAAAGATACGCTGACGATGGCAATAAGTTATTGGACGCTATAAATGCTACACACATTTGCTGATTTCTTAGAGTGAAGGTATAATCTGAGCTAATTCTGCGCATGAGTTATGGATGTCCTCACTAATGCTATATACCTATTAGACTGCATTAAATGCTGTAATTCATTTTATGCAACGCTAATGTGTGTTGGTACGTGTGCTGCTCTTCCGTTTCGAATTCGTAAATTAGGGCAATTTATTGTTGATTTTTGCTATACACTTCAAATGGAAAGGTTTTTGCATATCTACACAAATAGAGAAACCTAAAAGAACGTTGTTTGTAGCGTAACGTCGGCATATACTTACTCAATTGGAACTTAGAACCTTCGCCACACTTCTTAACATTAGACACGGAACAGTGGGAATGAGAAATATTGCTTATTTGTAAATAAAGTCTGGATTTATCGCAACCGTCTCATCTTGATCCCCATATATCGCATTTCGCAAGTAAGTTTTTAGACTGCGAAGAGTCAAAAACGATCTTTTACTGGGAACAACTGGTGGAATTTTTCATAATAAATATTTAGGTTTCAATGTATTCTTCCGCATCTTTCCCTTCTAGTAACTTGAGCATAATCTGAAAACGATAAAACTTTTAATTGGACACTCAAAAACATAACAGTTATTCCTTCTAATTTCATGGGATGTTTGAAGCTCTAAAACCTCCTTTGCGTAAGCATGATATTGAAACTCGATATAAAAAGTATGTTTTCTAGACTTTATATTCTAGAGTAGAGTAAAGATTCGATTATAAGCTAGTGTAACTAAATACTGTTGTTGAGAGATTAGATCACTTTCCTTCTTATTTCCTCCACTGTTCTAATGCGACCTATCCCAATAACTACATATGTACTCGTCGTAGCCTTAGTTGCCGCCTAGTCCCTTCCAGTTTGCCTACTCGTATTTTATACGTTTAATGTCTTAAGTGTATGGACGACGCAAAGGCAGGCTTCAAACGCAGATAATACTTATAATATATAGGCTTATTGGATGACATAAACAAAAAACAGACGCATGCCTTTAAATGCGAATACAGCAATCACATAGAGAACAGACATCACAAAATACCGCAGCTTAGCTGATATATGCCAACAGACAGACAAATAAACAAGCAGCGTAAGGCGCGTTTGTATGAAGCTTCGGCTAGCTCCTTAAGGTTGCGATTATGTTATGTATATTTGTATGGTGGGCAAGTACATCACCGCAGCGCAGACACATCGCAGCTTTGGTGGATGTGTGTTTGTAGATTCGTTTTTTGTACACTTTTTGAAGTTCGTACTTATACTCAGCTGTCCAACTTTCTGTCTGACTGCTATTGTAAAGATGTGTGCATATGTATGTATGTATGTATACGCCTGCATTACGGCTCATTGCCGCACGTCGCTTGTAGGCAATTGACCGGTGGTTTCATCAACGTCATCGCCACGGCTTCAACGTCTTGGCATTGTCTTTACAAATAACGCGTAACTACTAAACTACACATTACCCGCACATATACACATATATGTATTTATATAAATGTGTATCCGTATTGCATGACGGACATTCACGCGGCAGCAAACAACACGCCTTCAATTGTGCCCGCACTGTGCCGCGGGAATAAAGAAATCATATACGCCAGCAACATAAAAACAAATAACGCACAACACTAATGAATTGTAATGAATACAAAAACAACAACAAATGTTGTAATGAAAACATTGCTATCAAAAGGATTCAAACAAAAAATGCAAGCTTTTTTGTAATACTCAGAACAGCGGGAGCAATAACAATAGCAATTGCAACTACAACAAAAACTGCAATTCAATAAAAAGTTGCATGCAACACAGTTGTACTATTGTACAGTTGTGCTGCTTGTGTGCATAAACTAAATATTTGTATGCATTTAATGTCAGCACACCGGTGTGCAATAACCAAGCTGTCGCATATGAGCTCAAGGGAATTCGCAAAACCAAATGGCCTACTAACAGATTGCATGCACTTATCACGGGACTGGCATTATTATTTTTGTCCGCTGAATGAGTTGCGAGGGAGGTTGGAGAACTCTAAATGGTGGAGACTGCCTTTAAACACTTTGAAAATGTGGAAACTCTTTGCCACTGTAGATATTCATATCTGGTATAAATTAGATATATGTATATRTATTTCGATACCCTGAAAAGGGTATATCAAGTTTTTAAATATAGATATTAATGGAGTCAGCATACATTGAATATTGCATGAAAATTTAACTGAAAAAAAAATATTCCTGTTGGATCTCACACAATGGTTATCTATTTKCTGGAAAAACCGCCGAAGATGGATCGCTCTTCACCATGACAATCTTACATATCGACTGAAACAAGTGCATTTTTCAGCACCTCAAACATCGAATGGACATCTTTTTATTCAAGTACGTAGCGTTTTCCACAGCATAGGAGCCGATAGATGTATTCAGAACGCACGGGGGACACTTCGTTCAATCAGTACTTTATACGAATCGCTYGTATTGAAATTAATTCTTCCACAGACATTCTCGCAAAGATAATTTCCATTTCTTTTATTCTCTATATATTCTATTGATCATTCAGTCCCACAAAGCTAAGTGTTCTCCACGCCGTCGCTTGTAATAGAATATTTTAGTAAAAACTCTTTAAATGACAAATGACTTGCGACAACCCGTGACTACTGGTCACATAGTCTGGGCGGCACACCCATGCGACACATTTGCTCGTTTACTTTGAAAAGAGGGCCACATGGACGAATAACTAATGGCAAATATGTGTTGGGAAGAAAAAAATTCAAACATTAATTTGATAAACRGTGTTGCACAGTAGCAAGCTGGGTGCGCCCTTTTACCAGGCTTACGTCTTTTTCAGTCGACTAATTGTCTATTAAAATGTGCCCTTCTTATCCAACCGTGTCAGGCTTTGCAGACATATTTGCCACGACTATGAAATGTACAAAGGTGAAATGTCCAGACAACTAGCAATACTTCGTGCGATTTCCAAGGAAAATAGTGTCGATTCCATGCTGGTACAGCTTGGATAGAGAGTGTAGCAAGTAAAAAATGCCTGCAAGTCATGAGTGGCTGAAGAGAGTACAGAATATTGTGTGGATTTGCAACATGACACCGCAATGTTTGCAAAGTTCAGCAGAAGCGCAGAGCAAAACGAGATGAAAATCATTTATGAAAGCAACTCTCTGCATTGAACTTATTACTTAAACAAAAAGTATGAATTTAA